CGCGGGTCTTTGCTGGGAGGGCGAGCAGCGGGCTGCCGGGCCTTTCTGCCGGGATCCTGCCCTCTGCCGCGGTCCCTCCCCGTCGAGAGCAGCCGCTCCGCGGGCAGTTGCTGGCGCCCCGGGAGCTGAGCGGGAGAGAAGGTAGAGCTTCCCCGGGCAGTTGGTGTATGACTAAACACCATTGCTATTTTATGGACAAACAGCCTCGCCACACCTATAATTAGAGGCTCTGTCAAAGCTTTGGAGCTAAAGCAGTCCTGCTGCACGGACTCCTGGTCTGGAGGCTGCTGTAGACATCTGTCTGTTTGTATTGGACTGGGCCTGGGGAAAGGGAGAAGCTGTGGTCCTCTCTGCAACCCTGTTGCTAGCACAAACTTCATGACCTGGCATCCTGATGGTCGTTAAACTGAGAGCGTCTTCAGTGGTGCGGGAAAGGTCAGGGCTGGAGATCCGTCCAGCTAAAATCCCCAAGAATGCGTTGCTCCTTTGCCGGGAGGATTGCTTACGTTTTGTGAACGGCTCCTTTTGAAAAGAACCGTTGGGCTTAGTGAGATGTGGAAACTCTGACTGCTCGATCTGCTCCGTGTTTAACTTAGGAAATGCTTTTGTCGCCCTCATGCCCATGTGCCTGATGTGAGGCAGTGGCTGCAGAACGCAGCAGCGCGATGGTGCGTGAGCAGTTAAGTGGTTGTGATCAGCCTCCAGGGAATAGCGGGAGCCGCTGACAGTGTAAAACTGTGCTGGAATTGGGCAGTGTGGAGGAGATGGCCTGGGAGTTGTATGTCAGCAGTGAAGGAAGGAGGGAGCTTGTGTTTTTGTTTTACCCCAGGCTCCTGGGATGCTGGTTTGATTAGGTGAGGTTTGATCAACAGGTGTAGCTGCCCCAAAGCTTGCTTCCAAAGAAAGTCTTTCCTCGCTGCACTGGCAGCCTGGGTGCCTCTGCTAATGGCATCTGTGCGTGCCTGTCTGGGTCTGAGTGGTTTAAGTAACCTGGTGGCCTAAAACCCCCGCGTTGTCTTGCCGAAGCAGCCTGCAGGGTAGTAGAAACCCTCCTGAAACAGGAGCAGTGGCCATGCTAGCAGGGCCAGGGCCACGCTCTTACCCACTGGTGTTTCCACGAGGAAGTGACAGTGGCTCAGCGGGAGTGAAAGTGCCCGCTCGCTGTGGGCTGCGAGGCAGCCGCAAAGGGCAGGTGGGAGGGGGGCAAAGCTGCTTGCTGCTGCAGCGAAGTAGGGAGCTGCCAGCAACTTTGAAACACCTCGTGGTCGCTGCTGAAGCCGGCTGTGTGGCTGTGCTGCTGGCCCCGGGGAAGGGCCTCTCTGCTTTCCTTGGCTGGGGTAACGCTCCTTGTGCTGAAGGATCTCGCTCCAGCTGATGGAGGAACAGAAGGGGAGGAGGATGCAAGCAGAGATGCCAGTGTTAAATCCAAGTGTTCTTTATGCGGGAACATAAAGTTGGATCCTTTCAGCCTGTTTGCTGAGCGACTTGGCATGACATTTTGACAGTGATCAATAGCAAAAACACACAAACTCCCGCTCTCCTCTCGCTCTGCTCGCAGTGGAGATTTGAACCGAACTAGCCAGGCACGGCTCTTGGAGCAGTGTAAAAATAGACTTCTTCCCCCACCCCATCCTGTTACACTTAAAGCTGCGAGCTGGATACTGGAGTCTCCTCTGCCGCTGCGAGAAAGACCAGGCGTGTAATATTTGCCGTATGATTTTCCCCAGGCAGGGCAGAGACCACAGTCTCTGCTAATGAGTTCCTGGGATTTGTTCCTGCTGCGAAGGTACCGAGCAGCTGTGGATGTCTGCAGCCCTGGGGCGGTGGAGCTCTTACGTTGGACAGGGCTGCTGGCTCTCCGTGGCATTGCAGGAGCTTGCGTGGACTGTGCTAAGATGGGCAATCAGCCAGCTCTGCTGCTGTTGAGCATATGCAGACGGCCAGCTCTCTGTGTTTGGGAGCTCAGAGGTGAAACAGAGCAGTCTCTTTTTTAGATAGCTGCTCTCTGGCAAGGCTGACTTGAATTGAGATTCACCCCCACGCTCTCCCGTTCCCAAGGAGGAGCCAGAATGTGGCGACCAAATTGCAGAGCAAATCGGTGTGAAGAGAAACCAGCTCCCGCTCTCTCTTGGACTGTGTTTTTCACACCTGATCTGCAGCTTCTATGACCCAGGCACCTGGAATTGGGGTGACTTCTCTGCTTTTGTGCTCCTTCCAGGATCTAAAAGAGAAGAAGGAAGTTGTTGAAGAAACAGAAAATGGCAGAGATGCACCGGCCAACGGCAATGCTGTGAGTATGGCTACAGTCTGCAGGGAGAGGCAGCCCTTATGCCAACGCCTTTTAATTTTCCTCTCCCTTCTTGCTTTTGCTGCAGTCTTGTCCCCAGCCCTGCTCAGAGGGGACCCCTCCAAGTGGCAGCACTGTGCTGTGCAGAGAGCCCTCAAGCCTTTAGGGCTCCAGGTTCAACAGATGCTCCCAAGCCTGTGGGCAGCTCATGTGTGTGCAGAAAGGAAGGGCTGGGCTTGGATCCCCTCCCCGAAAGCTGTGTGAGATTGTGTCCAGTGCTGCCACCTCCCTAGGGACTGGAAAAGGAGAGGGGAAGGAAAAAAAAAAAAAGAAACCCTAGATTTACAGCATTACAGTCAGTTGAGTGGGGAAACACATTGTGTACAAGTAAACCGGTTGGTTTTCTATTTTTAATATGCTGGGGGAAATTCACTCTGCTGCATTTCAGTGTGTCACAAGAGCCTTTGCAGTCTTTGTCCTCGCCCCAAAGCTGCAGCCCCAAGTTACTCTAGACTTGATCCTTTGTGCCTGGGCTGTCTGCATCGTGTGGAGGCAGGCAGGAAGCGGGGCGCATGCCTGGGGCTCCGCTGGGCTGGTGCTTTGCTTTAGGCAGGAAAGGTGGGGACGCGCACTTCTGCTGAACATCTCTTCCCCCTTCTCCCTTCCCCAGTGTATTTTTTTTAAGTGATGTTTTGTCTTGCCAAGGAGAACGAGGAAAACGGAGAACAGGAGGCTGACAACGAAGTAGACGAAGAGGAAGAGGAAGGTGGTGAGGAAGAGGACGAGGAGGAAGAGGGTGATGGTAACTTTCTTTGTTCCCCCCACCCCCATCGCACGGCTGCGTCCTGCCCTGGACAGCAGACTCCTGAGAAGGAGAGGAGAGCCGAGAGCAGCATCTCCCCCTCGCGGCTGCGGCCAGGCGGCTTTTGCCAGCCAGGCTCATTCCTTCCTCGCTCGCCTGGGCCACCAGTGCTGGGAGTGAAGTCAGCCTTGAATCCCTTCCAGCAGGTTGAGGACAGATTCCTTCCTTCCTCCCTCCTCCGGCCAGACGGCACTATACCGTGGCGCTGAATAAGCGCATTAGCCCTTCCGTGCGAGTAGTAAAATCTGCCCTTGACTCTTGTGATCACAATGGCTGCTGCAGACGTGGGTGCCGACCAGTGGGACGGGGACAGCCCTGGATGGCCATGCCTTGGCCCAGGCACAGAGGATAGGTCACCATCCTTGTTTGTGGAGCAGCATGCTGAGAGGCTGATGTGGTCCCCTCTCCTGGGCCTTTCCCGGGCTGGATGCCGTGTGAAAGCAGGCAGAGGAACCTGCGGCTCTTCCCTCCTCCTCCCAATGGGAGCGGACAGGCTTGTTTTCAACCTTCTCTGTCTGCAGTGTCCCGCATCTCCCTGCCCTCCCCTGCTTCCTGACCTGACCCAGCCTGGAAGTGGGTTTTGGCAGCAGCGACCAGAAATCCAGCAGTGACTTGCCGAATCACTTCTCACCCTCCCCGCTATTATTTTTTTCCCAAGATCTGCTTGGATGAATAACATTGTTTATTTTTATCGCTCGTTAAGGCTGGGAGAAAACCATTCTTGTTACGCTGAAATGAACTCAGGGCCCTTGATAGCTGTTACTAGGTTAATCCCCTGTGAATTTTCAGTTTACGTGCTGACCTACTAACCTGTTGGTTAGTTTTGGGAGACGGGGACAAGGCTGGAAATTTAATGACCATTAGGCCAGCGCCTATTCAGACAGTGTAAGCAGGGAGAGCTGCCCCCTTTGGGGTAGCATTCTGCTCTCAGCAGCCTGCTGTCTGCTGTGCCCTTTGGTAGGAACTGGTTCACTAGGAAAAACTGGGAGTCGTGGCCCTCTTCATGCTTGGGATTTTAACCCTTGGGGACAGAGTGCAGTGCTGCCATGTGCTGTCGTGAGCCCATCTACATCCAGCCCTGCTTTTGGGGTGGAAGAGGGGGGAATACTTCCCTCTCCCTGCTCCCCTTGGGCAGGAGGGGGATGCGTGTGCCACAGGCGTATGTGTGTGGGGTGGAAGTGTTGCTTGGATACTGCTGTGACAAGCCCGGGGAGCTTTGGTCCCGCAGTGCCAGCCCTGTTCTTCCCAGTGCACTGAGTGCAGGCACGATTTGGCATGCAGTGCTTGCAGGGATCCTGCACGGGCTCTGTCTGTCCGTGCCTGCTGCCCTCAGGTGATCCCTGCCTGAGAGCTGCACCTGAGCAGCCGAACGCTGCAGGAGAGAGATTTAAAGGTAGCAAGAGCAGCTTGCATCAGCTTTTTTTCCAACACTTGTTTCCAAACTCCATCCTGGAGTTTGACAGCGGAGGGGAGCTTGAGGGTATATTTTTCTCACCCTTCTCCCCATCCCATCTCATTATTTGCTTTGCTTAAAGCAGCTCAGAGAACTAAAAATGCTCCCAATCAGCTTGGCGCTGTCACCTGACCCGCCGGCCAGCCTGGCGCATGTGATGGCTGCCGGTGTGTTGATCCATCGCTGGGAGCTAATCTTGGCCCTTCCCGCCGCATGGGCCATGCCATGGCTGGACACACGCTGGGGAGAAGAGAGGGGAAGGGAGGATGGGCTGACCTTAATCCCCCTGGCTGTCTATACGTGTGGCTTGTGGCAGTGGTTTAAAGCCAGCTTACTGGCCTTAACACTCTAAGTTTTAGTAGGGTCTCCTGTTACACAAGAGACTCGTCTTGGCAGCCGAGAGGTTGTTCTTCCTCTGGAGCCTCCAGTCTTGCCCCCGACCCCCCAAAACTGGCCAAAGGCAATGGACTCAGTCGTTCTGATCCACTGGCCTATTTGAGCTCAAAGTGGGTCAAAGCCCAGAGCTCTCTGTTCATCCTCCTCTGGCTGTAAGATAAGTTGGTAGCATTTGTTTGCTGTTCTGATAATTAGAAAGTGTTCTGACTCAGAACTAATGCGTTCTGGCTCTCTTAACTCATTAAAGATGGACTAATAGCTGCGAAGGGAAGCAGAAGTAATCTGGAGCGGTTAGGTGGAGCAGCCACTAGAAAGAGTTTTTTTCCCCCCCCCCCCCCCCTTTTGCTGTGATTTCAGTGCTCACGGTAGGTGCTGGTTTTGCCATCCTGTTGTCCGCACTACAAATGTGGTGTGAACCAGAATCGATGCTGCCAATCCTTATTTCCTCTTTGGTGGGTCAAGCCAGTTGGGGGATGCCGTGAAAGCCCCTACGTCCTTGGGCACCTGCTGTCCTGAGCAGCGGCTGTGCCAGCTGGGGAGACAGGACACTGGACATTGCAGTGTGGGGCTGAGCCAGAATTAAACCCAGCGGGGAGGTGTATGGTGCTGTAACCCTCCGAGAGGGTCTCACGTTCCTCCCCTTCTCCATGCAGGTGAGGAAGAGGATGGCGATGAAGACGACGAAGCTGAGGGAGCCACAGGCAAACGGGCAGCCGAGGATGACGAGGTAGGAAGAGCAAGCAGCCCTTCAGAGCCACCTGTGTCCCCAGAGGGCTTGGAGGGAGCGTCCGTGGGGCTGGAGAGGCTGGGCTGGGCTCTGGGGCTGGAACGCCCTGCCTGTGTGCTCCCTGTGCCTCTCTGGGGACGTGGCCCAGTTCTGTTTATACACTGGCCTGGTTAGCAGGGTGTCTGCTCCGGCTCCACCGCTGGCCCTGGGTTGGGGAGCCCCAGGGTGCTCATGGCTGGCCAGGGCAGAGGCGCTCAGGGGCTCCCCGAGCTGGCTGAAGAGGATTTTGCATGAGGGGGGAAACACTTGTGTTGCTCTGTCCTTCTTCCTGAGGCAGGAGAGCAACCCGAAACCCTCTCCTGCCTTGCTGCCTGCCTTGGTGTGGCTCTCACGAGCAGCCCCACTCCCTGTCCCCTCTCCTGATGGCTTTGCTTTCCCCCCAGGACGATGACGTCGATCCCAAGAAGCAGAAAACCGATGAAGATGACTAGGCAGCAAATTATTATTATTTTTTTTTTTAAATAAGGAGGAAAACAAACCAACAAAAAAGGCCAGCGCGTCCTCTTCACCCTTGGGACCCCCCCTCCCCTCCCGTTGCAACCCCCTCCCCACACACACACGCACCCCCTTCCTCCCCCCTCCGCCGTGGTCATCCTCACCAAGTAGAGTGAACCCCGTTCCCGGCCCCCCGGCGCGGCGCTGCCACTCAACGAACATACGAAACGATTCGCCTGTTAGCGGGGAGAGAACCCCCCCCTTCCCCCACAGACCCCCTCCCCCCCAAGCACCAAAACTTCAAGGCCCTGCTTTCTTTCTTAAAAGTACTTTAAAGGAGAATTTGTTTGTATTTTTTATTTACATTTTATATTTTTGTACATATTGTTAGGAGGTCCGCCATTTTTAAGTGATCTCGGATTGACCAAAAGGGGGGCTTTGAAGTGTATATCTCTCTTGTTACCTATCTCTGACTTTACTTGTGGTGTGACCAGGCCCAAACCATTATCTCAAAGGAGAATAAAACAAAACCTTGTAAAAAAATTAAAAAAAAAAAAAGACAAAAATGCAAAAAAAAAAAAAATTTACAATCTTATTCTGAGCATTCCAGTAACTTTTTTTGTGTATGTACTTTAGCTGTACCATAGATCGTGGTTTGTATGAGGTGGCAAGGCCAAAGATAAAAAGGTTTTCTTTTTTTTTTTTCTGTCTATGAAGTTGCTGTTTATTTTTATTTTTTTCTTTTTTTTTGGCCTGTTTGATGTATGTGTGAAACAATGTTGTCCAACAATAAACCGGAATTTTATTTTGCTGAGTTGTCCTAACAAGGCTGCCTCCCAACTGCTGCTTTTTGTTTTAGTTTTGATTTGTTTTAGTTTTTTTATTTCTTTCTCTCCTTCTTTCTCTCCTTCCTTTCTTTCTTTGCTTTGGACTTGGGCTGGGAAGAGAGTTGGAGAGGGAGTAGAGGGGTGCAGGGTGTTGATGGGGAGGGTCTGGGGGCTGTGGTCCCAGCTGGCGTCTGCAGCGCAGTGCCATCCCCCTGCTGCTGTTGTCAGGGCAGGCGAGGCAGCAAGTTCTCACGGCTGTACTCCGTGGAGAGCTGCAGCTGTGCCCCCAGCATGGTCTCTGCATGATCCTGCACGGCCTGGCTGCTTCTGGGATCGGTAGGGACAGGTTAGGCTGGGAAACCATCAGAGAGAGGCTAAATGAAAGTGAGCTGGGTTTTGTGGGTACGGGGTGCTCAGCAATCCTGCTGTCCCTCTACAGTCAGACTCGTTGGGAATTGTGTGTGGCTAGTGTGGGGTTGAGAAACCCATCCCAGAAATCCTTCCTCGCAATGGGGAGTCTGCTGTGGGTGGGTGACCCCCCGGTTGTGGGATGGTGGGTGCTGAGGCTGTGCAAATGCCTCAGTTCCTTCAGGCTGTGTGAGGCAGCATGGGGCTCGTTTACAGCATCACTGGCAGCGGGCTAGGATGTGTGTGCTGGAGGAGGCAGTGTTCAGCAGGGATTGAATTCAGCCAGAACTGGTCCCTGAGGGATGCTCAGCCTGCACCGGCCATCCAGCAGTTTCTGGGGTGACAGGTTAGCGGAGGTTTGGTGGTGGGACCCTGGGAGGCAGGCTGGGGTTTGTCTGTCCACTTGAACCAAACCAAAATGCTGTAATTTAGCCTAGACCTCTGCTGCTTTGCTCCTAACCTTCCTCCAACTCATTTTTCCTCCCTCCTCCAGGGTGTTGGAGCTCAGAATAGCTCAGCCTGCTCTTCCAGGTATGTGGAGACATGTTTGCAGGAACCCACCTTGTATCTGTGCCTCCCAAACCCTCGCCCCGGCTCTGGCGAGTCCCCTTTCCCCTGCTGAAGCCCTGCCAGATGGCCTCGTTTCCTCCTCTCGCCTTGCAATCTGGGCAGTTAGCACTGAGATGCTGAGGGGTGATTTTTATTCAATTTTTTCTTTTTTTTTTTAAAAGAAGAGGAACCGTCGTGCATTTAGTATGCTGGCTGTGAGGATCACAGCTCCTCCTGATCTCTGGGAGCAACCAGGTCACTTACTCTGTATTTACACTGGTGGCAAATAAGCTCAAAATCTGGCTCCTTGTCCTTAATTATCCAACTAATCATGGTGCTAGCTGATAGCTTATCAGATTTACCGCCTCGATTTACAGGCCATATCCAGCCCTGCCTCTCGCCCGCCAGGGTGATGGGGTGCTCACGCAGGGCTGGAGGCCAGAGCTAGATTTGATTAGCAGGTGCTCTGATGTCCCCAATGGGATGGACAACATGGGAGCGGCAAACAGCGCTGCTGAGCATTGCCGAGTGTCACCGTACGGCTGGGTGGTGCTTTGTTGTGCAGCGCCGGCAGCTGTGCCTGTGTCCCTGCTGCAGCTGCCTCGTGTGTGGCTTGTGTGCCGCGATGCACTCCGACGACGTGATGGACTCTGACGTGCAATTCGAGCTGGTGCTTGCAGATTTGCGAGGCAAATTATTCAAATAAATTTCTGCAGCTGAAGAGCCGGTGAGAGCAGGCTCTGTCGGTCACCAAAACATGGGGACCCTGCACACACAGGTGGCGCGTGGCCCCCAGGGGGAGATTTTGGGGGAGCAGTGGCCTTATTGCCCCCCACTGCAGAGGAGGACCAGTCCTATGGCCTGCAGCCCCCCAAAACCTGGGGGTCTTGTGTAGTAGGGTCCTCTTTGGTCTGGGGTGTGGGGTGAAACTGGAGGCTGTTCCCTGCCAGACAGGCTGGCGATGGATAGGGCACGGAGCAGCTGGGTGGGAGGAGAGGGGAGGCCTGGGGGACCCCTCAGCCCCACAGCTCCCGGTCCTCACTGGGTTGCTGTGATCCCTGTGGCCACTGGTGATGGAGAGGGGAAGTCCTGCTCCGTCACCTCCAGCTGTGCAGGGCAGCCCTGGTATTCCTGCACCCTGTCTCTACCCCTCCATGGCTGGGTCCCGGGGGGTCTGGCAGCCCCCTGCCACCCCATGCCCCCTGGACATGCTGCTGTGTCTTCAGCGCAGAGAGGGCGGATGCTGCCCCGGGCACGGAGCAGGGAGGGGACAGGCTGGTCCCAGCACTGGGGGCTGAGACCAGGCACAGCTCAGTACATGGGCCACTGCAGGGAACCCAGCCTCAGCCCTGCTGCCCAGCCACCCAGCCACAGCCAATCCCCACACACCAGCACAGCCTGCCAACCAATCCCACACTGCCACTTGTCCCTCCCTTGCCCCTCCACCTCACTCCCTCCCTCCCTCCCTCGTGCTGCTTCCACCAACCACAATCAAGCAACACCCAGGCCTGACCAATCATGGTCTGCCACCTAGCGCTTCCCCCCAGCCAACCATGTGCCACCACCTGTCCCTGCTGCTGTCTCGCCCTTCGCAGCAGCAGCTCACCAATCGCAGGGAGAGGGAGACCACTCTGAGCCAATCCAGAGCTGCCACCTATCAGCTGTCCCAGCCAATCAGGGGCAGCCACAGCCCCCCAAGGGGTATAAAAGGCCCTCTGTGCTGGGGCTCTCCTATGCTTGGGGAGATGATGGTCCCTTGCAAGAGTCTCCTGCCTTTAAGGTCCTGGGGGGGGGGGTGTGCAGGCTTGAAGGTGGCTCTTCATCTTATTTGGTGCCTGATGCCACCCAGGGCCTTCTGGGTGAATCCAACATGCTACAGGGATCGCTCACCTGGATGATGTCTTGAGATGGGGACCAGGAGCAGCAGGCCCCCCTCAGCAAGAGAGGGCTTGCAGGAGTCATGCCAGCTGAAGGTGCCTTCAAGGATCTTAGAAATGGTCTCCCTGGTGAGCTTGCCTTGTTCCAGGGGCTGACCACTGGGACCTGGGGAGTCCCACCTACCTCTGATGTGCAGAAGATGATCTCCACCACTGCCTGGTGACCAGAGTAAGACTCTGTGGGGGGCTGGTGCCATGGGACTGGAGGTGAAGAGCATGTGGCCGTTGTGTGCCTTCAGGCATGGTGTCATGCTGCTGGGTCCCTCACAGAGCTTCACAGGTGACATGTTCAGCTGTAATCTGTGGAGCAGAAGTACTGCTTGTGGTGCCCCTTGCCTGCAGACATGACCCATGTGTCATGGGTGACTTGACTCCTGGTTGGACTGCTGATCACGCTGGTCCTGGAGACCACGGAGGTGAATGGCTGAAGCTGTTCTGGGGTGTGCTAGCTGGCTGCTGACTACTGAAGGTAGCCCAGGTAGCTCCCAAACGTAGCCATCAGGAGAGCTGCAGGGTGCCTTGTATGAGCCTGGAAGGACTTAGGCTGTGCTGATGTGTACAGGTGGCCACTTGGACCAAGGGCAGCCCTTCCCTAGGACTCTGCTGTGGCTGAACCTCAGCTGGATCAACGGTGTCCTACATGTGGCTGAACAAGGAGGTGAATTGAGAGCAACTTCCACGAGGTTGGCCTGAAATGCAATGCACCAGTGGAGCTGTGCTGCCAAAGGTCACAGCCAGTGTAACCAGTGGGGCTGAGCCCATGCCCTGTGGGCAACTGGACTGGGTCTGGACCAGCGGACCTCTCTCCAGTCCTGACCTCCTGCCTGTAGTAGGTTAGGACCTGTTTCACTAGTTCATGCTTGTCCTGCACCAGCTGTAGCTTTTGGTCAGCCTCATTCAAAACTCTTCTTGTTGCATTTTGACAACCTTCCTGAAATTTGGAGCTCCTTGAGGGCTTGGTGGAGAACCTGCCTGGGGGGAACGCAGGACTTGGACTCCAAACGAGACATGGGCTGGGGTTACTGGTGCAGTTTGCGTCTGGGTAAATAATTGGCATCTACTTAAGAGTCTGACGAGTGAAACTGCCTTCCAGGCACGACTCCTCAAGATCACAAACATAGAAGCAATTCTGGGGCGTTGCTGTTGAAAATAGACATGAAGAGCTGTTCCTCTAGCAGAGCAGTTGCCACCTGGCTCAGGGAGCAAGGTGTCCCAGGGGAGCAGATCTCTTGGGAGCGGGCTGGGGAAGCCCAGGGCCTTTGGCCAGTCTTGGCTCATCCCATGTAGCAAATATGCACCTCCTAAATGGTGTAGGGATGTCTGTGTGATTGCCCTGAGAGCTGTCTGGTGCGGGCAGGAAAGCCCAGCCCACGCTGAAGAGCAGATGTGGGAGATTTGGTTCGTGTCTCATCCCTGGCTGCCACATACACCACAGCCTGTCCCCCCTTGGTGAGCCACGGCAGGTCTGGGCCTGGACCCTGACTTGGCAGTCCCCAGCTCAGTGGAGGTCCTTGAGATCTGAAACCCAGCTGGATGCTAACTGCTGCTGCCAGGTCTCCTTGGGGCCACCATCCCAATCCTTCCCTGTTCTGGGGTGGAAGCCTTGGAGAGGGAGCAGGGCTGGGGTGCCCGTGGCTCCTCCTGCACAGACACTGGGAATCCTCCATCCTTCCCTGTGCCGATGGCTGCTCTGTCTTTTCTGACTGAGCTGATCCTCTCCAAAGGGCAGGAGAGCAGGAGGAGGGGCTGCAGGGGATCCTCAGCTTTGCATACCCCAAGGAGGGCCATGGCTCCTGTTCATGGCTGGTTGGGGAGCCCCAGAGGGAGGGGTGGGGGCTGGCCAGGGTGGTGAGCTCAGAGGAAGCAGCAAGTGCTGCACTTCAGAGCACATGGGGACCTGGCAAGGCTCTTGCATTGCTTTCATAAGAAAGCACAGTGCAAGGGAGGCAGCTGGGGGATGAGAAAGCTCAACCCAATTTGCCCTTGGAGAATCCACAGGGATGGAGACCTCAGGCTGTAAATCAGCAGAGATGGGGCCTTTGCATATGTCCTTTCCTGCCCAGGAGGGAGGCCTGAAGGTGAGGGGCTCTGCTTCTCCCTGCATGC